CATGTGGGATGGGAGGTATTGTCATAGCCATCTTTGGAAAATACAATTTTTTTTTCAGTTTTAAATTATTTGTATGCTTAGCTATAAATTTTTAATTTATATGCACAATAGATTGTTAGCTGGACACAGAAAGAATAAATACTGGCTTGGAAAATGAAAGAGCACAAAAACAGTAATTCTGCCAATTTACTTCAGGGTGATTTTCACCTGTTCTGTAAATTGAATTAATATGATTAAAAGTTTTACATAACATAGCAAGGTGATTGTAATACCAAAAAAAAAAAAAAAAACTAAAAAGAGAAAATACTCAGTTTGAACTCTTTAAGAAGTGTATTCAGTTTGGCTTTCATTTATTAGGAATAAAGATTATCCACACCTTTAATGTTGTAGTTACTTGTAAGGACTGGCCTGAATCTTATCTTTTCCCTCATAAATACAATTTATAAAAAGAAACCAGTTGTTTTTTAATATATAAGGTAAGTACTAAAAATCATTCCGGAAAGCAGTTTTTCTTCTTGATGCCAAAGGAAACATTTATGTCATATTAGAGATTTTTTGAAAGATTACTCTTTTTTCTTACCTAATTTTAAATTAATCCACCTGTATTATTTGTTAAATGGGGAAAAAATAATGGTTTTACTTCATATGGGATGAATAGTAAAGATTGCTTTAGAATGAAAATTTGTAATCTTTAATAATCTGACCTCACTTTTTTTTAACAGCTTTGTTGTGTATCAGTATATACTTCATGTACCATACAATTCACACATTTAAAGTTTACGGTTCACTACGTTTTTTTATTCAGAGTTCCGCAGCCATCATCACAATCTAATTTTTGAACAGTTTCATTACCCTGAAAAGAAACCTTATACCCATTAACATTCAACTCCCTTTTTCTTTACACTTCCAGCCCCCAGGCTTAGTCAACTCTTAATCTACATTCTGTCTCTGTAGATTGGCCTGTTCTGGATATTTCATATAAATGAAATCATACAGTATGTGGGCTTTTGTGACTGGTTTCATTTACTGTATTGTTTTTATGGTTTATCCATGTTGTGGTATGTCTCTGTACTTCATTCCTTTTCATGGATGAACAATATTCCACTGCACAGGTAATTATCCGGTCATCGTTTGGTAGACATTGGGGTTGTTTACCCTTTTTTGGCTGTTATGAATAATGTTGCTGTGAACATTTGTGTACACATTTGTGTGGACATAGGTTTCATTTCTCTTGAGCATATACCTGCAAGTGGCATTTCTGGATCATACGGGAAGTTGACATTTAACTTTCTGCAGAACTGCCAGTCTGTTTTACAAAGCAGCTGGATCATTTTGCATTTTCAGCTGCAGTATATGAAGGTTTCAGTTTCTTCACATCCTCACCAGCATCTGTCCCTTTGATTATAGCCTCTTGGTAGATGTGGAATACTATCTCCTGGTTTTGATATGTGTTTCTCTGTTGCAGGTTTCCCTGATGGCTAACATGTTGAGCATGTTTTCATGTGCTCGTTGGACATGTTATATCTCCTTGTCTAGTCGGATCCTTTGCCCATTTTTAAAATGGGTTGTCTTTTTATGTTTTGAGTTTTGAGAATTCTTTATATATTCCAGATAAAAGTCTTCTATTAGACATAGGATTTATAAATATTTTCTCCCATTCTGTGAGTTGTCCATTCACTTTCTTGATGTTCTCTGAAGCTCAAAAGTTTTTAATTTTTTGTCCACTTTACCTATCTTTTCTTTTGTTATTTGTGTTTTGGTATCTGTAAGAATTTTATAATTTTAGTTCTTACATCTAGACCTAGAATCCGTTGTGAAATAATTTTTGTTTATGGTGTGATGAAAGAATCCAACTTGATTTTGATTCTTCCCACAGATACTCAGTTGCCCTAGCACCTTTTGTTGAAAAACTGTTTTGCTTTGTTGAATTGTCTTGGTACCCTTGTTGACCTGTCACTTGCAGTGAATTACCATATTTCTTGCCTGGGAGTGTAGGGAGAGAGGCAGCTATGTGTTCTTAGCTGCACCCACATGAAGTGGATCACTTTTTATTCTGAGCTTAAGGGAAGAGGCTGTTGGGGCAAAGGAAGGAACAGATTGTGGCTCAGATACCACAGATACTCACATTTCTTAGATTTTCTTTAATAAGTTTCTTCATTTGATATATATCCTGGACATTTTCTAGAGACTTTAAATGGTGGGTTTTTTTGTTGTTGTAATTTTTACCAGTTGTTTCACTGGGGAGAAGGTCTGCATACCCTCATTCCAAAAGTTGTCTCAGTCTCGTTATTTGTATCATAAAATTGCTCCTTAATTAAACAACACTCCAAACTAATGCAGTTTTAGAAATCACTAAAGGTAGTTGTGAGATTATATATTAAGAGAAAAAGGTTTGCATAAGTAAAAAGTTGGGTACTCTTATACAATGTATTAGCCTTAAATGTTCATTCCGTGGCTTTCTAGTTTTGAACAAGAGAAATTTCTCTTGGACCAGGTACATTTGGGGGCCATTTGGTGATCTTGGTCTGATTTTAGATACGTTTAGAACATTTTTATGAATTTCTCAATTTCTGTATAATTATCCACTACCTTTTATGAAAATGGTACTTCTTAACAGTTCAGTGATGAGGCATTATTGTCCCTCCCCCTGTCAGGGCCATGGCATATGGTTATGCTCTGTCCAAGGGCACCTGGCTGAGGGATATGTTGAGGGGCTGAATTCCAACCTGTGCTGTGTTTATCATGGGGCAGGACTATGTGAATCCTGAGGTGCAGATAGCTTAATCCTAGTTCACACAAAGGTATCTTGTGGGCTGGCAGATATTTTTAAGGAATTGTCAGTGCCTGGGGGGAAGTAAGACATGAACACTAAGGACTATAAGACTATACAGCCGGGGTGCCTGAGTGGTGCAGTCATTTAAGCGTCCGACTCAGTTTCTGTTCAGCTCATAATCTCAGGGTTGGGAGATGGAGCCCCACATTGGGTTCCGTGCTCAGCATGAAGTCTGCTCCAGATTCTCTCTCCCTCTCCCTCTACCCCTCCCTGCCATGTGCTTATGCTCTCTCTCTCTCAAATAAATAAATTAAAAAAAAAAAAAAAAACTACCGTACATCCAAAAGACAAATGCTGTGGGAACTCAGAGGGAAGGATTACTTCTTAGAGGGATGATGGAAAAAGCATTTAGGTGAGGAGGTGGCATTTGTTAGGCCTTGAAAGGGTAGACAGCATTTTGACAAATGGAAATGAATGCAGGGGGGCTTCTCAGGTGAATAGAATTAGTAGAAGCATGGAAATAGGAAAGTTCATGACATTTTTGGGTAACAAAGTGGTGATGTGGGTTGGTTTGTTTTTAATATTGGTGAATATGGGGGAGTACTGAGAAATGGGGCTGGAGAACAATCTGGATGAGGCCAGATTATTCATTGTTAATGGTCTGTATTAGTCTCAGGAGTTGATTCCAGAGATTTAGGTAGCTGTGGGAATAGTTTTTGGTTTTGTTTTACTTTGTTAAAGGGAAATGAATAACTGGCCGAGAGCTGTGTTTTGGGAGAATTTGGCCACAGGATTAAAAAAAAGTATACAAGGTATTTCAACAGAAAGAATTCATTATAAATTTATACTAAAGAGAGACAATTTAGTATAAATAAGTAGCGTAAGGAATCTGTGAAATAGATGTTGAAGAGCTGGAAAAGCAAAGATCACCGAGGCATCCTAGAGCTAATCACTGCAGAAAGCAGCTACTACCCCTGCAGCTCTTCTAATCAATAAGAGAAAGATAACGGGGGCGCCTGGGTGGCTTAGTCGGTTAAACATCTGCTTTCGGCCCAGTCATGATCTCCTGGTCCTGAGATCGAGCCCCGCATGGGGGGCTCCCTACTCCTCGGGGAGTCTGCTTCTCCTTTTGCCTCTCCTCCTGTTGTGCATGCTCTCTCTCAAATAAATAAATAAATAAATAAAATCTTAAAAAAAAAAGAGAAAGACAAGAGTCTTAGTAGGAAAAGGACCAAACAAAGAATGTGACTATATAAAGAAAAAATACAAATGGCCGATAAAACAATAATAATAATAAAAATAATAATCCTTTGAAGATTTGGGGAGAATAAGTATAATCACAATGGAAATGGAAATTGGTATAGTCTTTCTAGAGCATTTTTTCAGTATGTATCAAAAACCTTAAAAATAACTGTTTACTTTGAGAAGATATTCTGAGACCGCAGGTAAGAAAGCAAGGATGGTTTTAGACGGAGATAAGTTAAATTGGCAAGAGCTCCTGTCTGACAGTTTTGCAGTCAGAGAAAAGCAGGTTATCTTGGTGTGATAGTCAGAACATTGCTGTGGTTACTGTAGGCAATCAACTGGCTTCCTATGGAAGCAGTCAGCAGCAATGTCTTGCTTGCAGTTAGATAGCATAAATATGTAAGCAGACTGTTTGGTTTCATGACTTTGTCCAGTAACACTTAAATAGCTCAAAAGTTAGTGGAAAGTTATTCAAGTGAATGCAAAGGGAAACCTGTGGAAGATTGGATGCAGGGAGATACTGACTTACTCTAGAGCATAGCCTTGCTGATGGCCCAGAAGCAAGGAGAGTGAGGAACCTCAGAACCAGTAGATTTGACCAGAACCTAACAGGTACTCTTCCTTTCCGGGGCTGTCTGCAGTAGGGATTGCCAAGAGAAGTGTCAGCTCTCAGGATGACTAGAATTAATTCCAGGTTCTAGCTCTGATAAAGTATGGCTCCTGACACTAGGGATTCAGAGTTTCATTTGATTAGGCTTTGATTTGTACAGTGTCAACAGAATAACCCTCAATTATAATAATCACATTTTTAACCATTTTGCATATGTCGGAATTAGTTTTATCAGCTACTTGAAAGGAGAAATTGTTTTTCTTTGTAGTCTAGATTATGATTTTAAATTCCTAATAATTGTTTCTATCTCAGGAGTTTTCTATTCTAGACCAGTAGGCAGATACCAAACTATGTTTATAATTCTCTTCATAGGAAAACCTCCATTCTTACCAGAATCTTTTGACCGAATTCTTCTTGATGCACCATGCAGTGGAATGGGACAGAGACCAAACATGGTTTGTTCTTGGACTTTGAAAGAAGTGACATCATATCAGCCGTTACAGAGAAAACTCTTCACTGTGGTATGTGATGATACTTTGATGTGAAAGAAAGTTGACCTTCATAGTTTGATGTTACAGAGACCGAGAGCAGTGTTCAAAGCAGCATTTTTCACAATAACCAAAATGTGGAAACAGCCCATCAAGAGGTCCATCAACAGGTGAATGGATAAGCAAATTCTGCTACAACGTGAATGAACTTTGGGAACATTCTGCCAAGTGATAGAAGCCAGACACAGAAAGACCTGTATTGTCTGTTTGCATTTATATAAGGTAACTAGAATAGGAGCATTGGTAGAGACAGAAAGTAGAATAGAGGTCACCAGAGGCTGGAGGGGCAGGAGAATGGGGATTTAGTGTTCCTGGGTACAGAGTTTGAGTTTGGGAAGATGAAGAGTTCTAGAGATGAGTGGTAGTGATGGCTGCGTGCCGGCGTGAATGTACTTAATGCCACCGAATTGTACGCTTACAAGTGGTAACGACGGCAAATTTTGTTTATTTTATCATACAAAAAAGGACAGAGAAAACCTAGTTTTAAATACAAGAAGCTTTCATTTATGTTGATCACTCTTTCATATAAAAGCAGTAGCAGGATTTCCTCACTGAGACATTCAGTGACTTCCCAGTATTCTGATATGTCTTAAAGAAGTCCCCGAGCCGTTAACATCATAGTTAAGAACTGATGTGTAAGGAATGGGATATAAAATAAATTATTCTTTTTTTTTTTTTTTTATAGGGTTTATGGATCATCTTAGCATATGAGAAGCAGGAAGTCCAGGGGAGGGAAGCACACTGATAAAAAGGAGAAGGGACTATTCAGTATAGGATATAGAAGAACCGTAAAAACTTTGCCAATTTAACTGGTGTCTAGCATGTTTCAGGAGAAGCCCAAATAGAACATTTGAGGAATTCTTTCAGGCTTGCACAAATGATTATGTGGATTGCACAGAACGTAGACAGCATTTGACCAAAAATGACTTCATCATTTCCCCTCAGCCCTGTAATACTAAGTACATAAGCTTCAGCAATAATGGATGCACTGTAATTATTCAGTCTCTAAAGTTGTCTTTGAGTACATTTCTGCTTATCTGTCTGGTATCTTCTGTTATACACAAAGGATGCGCTGGTAGTAGATTATTTAACTATTCTTCTGTACTGTCTTCAAAGAACACAACCTAGAAGCGAACAGCAAAAAAAAAAAAAGGAAGCTTTACCTCTAGCTGAAACCCACTTTGACTTGAGAGTAAAATTAGGACACTGTTTCATTAAACATTTATTTATTATTTTAGAGAGAGACAGAAATTGGGGAGCAGGGGGGAGAGGTAGAGACAGAAGGAGAAAGAAACTCAAGCAGACTCCACGCTGAGCACGGAGTCCAACATCTGAGATCACAACCTGAGCTGAAACCGAGAGTCAGACGCTTACCAACTGCACCAGCCAGGCACCCCAGGACACTGTTTTAAAAGACTGGGCTTTTTGGGATGCCTGGGTGGCTCAGTCGGTTAAGCGTCTGCCTTCAGCTCAGGTCCTGGGGTCCTGGGATCAAGCACCACATTGGGCTCCCTGCTCAGCAGAGAGCCTGCTTCTCCCTCTCCCTCTGCTGTTTCCCCTGCTTGCACATGTGTGCGCGTGCACTCTCTCTCTCTCTCACAAATGAGTAAAATCTTTAAAAAAAAAATTTAAAAGACTGGGCTTTTTGTTCTTTTTAGGTCCTAGCAGAAAGAAAATTTTAAAAGGCTACTTAGGAGTAGTTGCAGTGATCGCAATGAAGAGGAACAGCTGACTGTGTACAAAAGAGAATTTAGAATATAGCAGGTTTGCCATTTAGCACTGAGGTATTAGCTGAGACTGTGGACTTTATAATCACACACATCTTGTTTGGAGCTGTGCTTCTTCCACATAATTGACTTTAGGTACATTGGTTTCCATATATGAGAAATGGGGATTATAAGTCTACTTAATAGGTTCACCTCATTGGCAGTAGTAACCATACCTCATGGTTATAAGTAAATTGAGAAAATCCATGTAAAGTGCTTACAACAATAACTGGCACACAGTAACAGTTTATATTTTGACCAGCCTACTCTAGTTAAAGCACAAATATATACTATATATAATAAAAATATACTATATGTAGTATATATGGTATGCTATATATTATATAGTTTTACATACTTCTATATACTATATAACGTGTGTGTGTGTGTGTATAATAGTATACTATGTATAGTATATATTTTAAAGATTTTCTTTAAAATGTTTTTAAATATCTGGGAGTTTGAAAAGATAAACTCTTAGGGACGCCTGGGTGGCTCAGTCAGTTGAGCGTCTGCCTTTGGCTTGGGTCATGATTCCAGGGTCCTGGGATTGAGTCCCACGTTGGGTTCCCTGCTCAGCAGGGAGCCTGCTTCTCTCTCTGCCTCCCACTCCCCCTGCTTGTGTGTGCTCTGTCTCTGACAAATAAATAAAAAAAATAATAAATCTTAAAAAAAGATAAACTCTTAGTTATTTGGGAAAAAGTCATTTTCTTGTAATACCAGTTTCCTGATTCACTTACTTACTGGACAGATTTTCGTTGAACACCTAACCATAATGTAATATATGCTATTCTGGGTGTTTATCAATATAGTAATGAAAAAAATAACAATCCCTGCCTTATTCATGGAGTGTCTATTCTAATTGGGGAGGAAAATAAGATGAATTAAGTTATTAAGTATAGTAACAGAGCAGTAACCCTGTGGAGCAAACTAAAGAAGGGAGGATAGGAGTGCTGGCTTTGAATGGTTGTAGTGTTACGTGGGACGGTCAGGTGCTGGAAAGGCGGCAGAGACCCAAAGATAAGATTGTGAAGAAGCAGTGCAGAGAATTAGAGTTTCCAAGCTTGTGCGCCACTTCTGAGGCGGGAGTGTGTCGTGTGTACTCCAGGACAGCAGAGGCCGGTGTTGCTAATGCAGAGTAAGCGAGATGTGTGAGGTGAGGTCAGAAGCGCAGCCAGAGGCCTGCTCTGGGTAGGGCCTGAAAACCCCTGTAAGGACTTGGGCTTTGGCTCCGAGTTATAAGTCAGGGCATTTGAAGGGTTTTGCGTGGAGAAGTGACAAGTTTTTAAAAACACCACTCAGGCAGCTGTATGGAGAAGAGGTTATAGGAGAGCAGACAAGCAGGTGGACTAAGAGGGAGGCTGCAGTAATCCAGGCCAAAGACAGTGGGGCTTAGACCAGGATGATAGCAGTGGAAGGAGCCAAATTCTGGATAGATTTTAAAGGAAGAGCCAGTGGAATTTGCTAATGGATGGGGAGTGTGAGAGAAAGGGAGGCATAAAAGATAGTATCAGGTTTGGGGCCTGAAAATAGCACATCTCTAATAGGTCTCAGAGGGAAGATAGGTGTTCACTTTGGGACCTGTCGAATTTGATAGCAGACATATGGAGAAGGCAAGTGAATACATGAGTAGAGAGTTCAGAAAGGAGTATGGCTTAAAAAGTGTGCATGTGTGAGTTTTGGACACAAAAAGTGGTATCTAAAGCAGTGAAACTGAATGAATATTTTCAGGAAAGTCTTGGTTTAAATGGATTATAACAGCTCCAAGATAGTGAAATGTACCTAGTCTGGAACACTCTAATTAGAAAACAAATCTTGGTCATCTGGAACATTTATCCCAAACACTTGAAAGGTGGTATCCTCTCATTCTAAAATCCCATAAAATGTTGCTTTTGCCTTGTGATACACAGAGTCTGATCATGTTTCTTTAGGCAGTTGAGCTGCTGAAGCCCGGGGGCGTGCTGGTTTATAGCACATGCACCATCACACTGGCAGAAAATGAAGAACAGGTTGCCTGGGCCCTCAGAACATTTCCTTACCTTCAGCTTCAGCCCCAGGTAAGAATAATTTCAGTTTTCTCTGTGTAATCTGACAAATTACAGAAACCTGAGTGTGGGGATAAACACAAGGTTGTTATAGGAAGAACTATGTCAAGCAAAACTTCGGAAACAAATACTGCAGTAAACAAGAATGCTTCTCTAATGAGATCTGTTTTAGACTGTCTGGAGAGAATTTCCACATTCTAACGAAGTTTTTCTGTTTTCGTTCCTTGCCGTTGTGTTAAAATGCCACAGAGCCCAGGTGTACCTGTGTTACATACTTCTTTCACTTGTGGCTCTTCTTTATGTTACTCAGAACTTTTTTTTCTAAAAAGTTGTTGGTTCTTTTCCCCTCCTACTCCTAGATTGTGCTGGTATGGAGTATGTTCACCATTTTTTCGCAAGTCACATCAAGGCTAGCCAAGGGGGGGACAAATGGTTCAGTAATATTGCTTCTTTATGGCTTCTGACATAAAATATCTAACATTTAAAAAGCTTTCTTATTCTTTATTTCACCTGTCTCGGTTTTTGTCAAAAGTATATTATGACTATATTTTTAACCCATGATGTTTGGGATGAAGTGTAAATCTGTAATAATGCTCACATTCAGTTAGATACATTGAATATCTAACTTCAGTACCCTCCTGTACAGAATTCTAGTTAATTGGAATATATGAATAAAAAGCAATCCAGAGATGGTTTCTAGACTCAGAAAGGAAGGTAATTGCATTGTAGAGGAAAGGAAGACTTCAGAATTCACTTGAATTTTATGTGTGTATGTGTGTGTACATATGCATATACACTCAATATATGCATATACATTCAATTATAGCTAGAAGAGAGAGAAATTCCCCCCCATGGATTAATAAACAGTAGGTTAATAATACATAAGTATTAAACATAACAATTATGCAGTGTTGACTTGATTTAGGATTATGGAACTTGTGCAGTCGTGGTTCACACATATCACTCAATTCCTTATGATTCTGTATTCTAAACTAATTGACGCAGCCTTAGTTTATCTCTAATATTTGTTCTAGTACATTCAAAAACAACAATAGGAATTTTTTATCATCCAGTTGGTATGGGTCAAAGAAAGTCACCTTTAGGTGCCTGAGGAACTCCCGTCAGCTTTGGGGAGTGTGATAATAAAGCTGAATTTTCTTTTATTGCTGTTATTGATAAAAATGATCCACTTACTGAGTGATCACTATATGCCAGGCAGACTACCACCTTGTTAAATAAAGTCTTAGAACTAAGTATTTTATCTGTTTTATAGATGAGGAAACAGAGTTAGGTAAAGTTACTTAAGATCACACAGCAAAAATGTGGTAAAGCTGCAGTTTTTGATGAGCATATGGGTCATAATAGATACTCAGTCATCAGATGACCATATATTACTACCCAGAAAAACTGCATGTCCATTCCACAGAGATACCATTTGTCTATTTTTGGAATTGGTGGTACTTATACCTCAGTTTTGTCTTTTAACTTAAATTGTATGCAGGCACACTTACCAATGATAGGATGTTCACATCTTCTCATTTTCTCTGAACAGGAACCACAGATTGGAGGAGAAGGAATGATGGGAGCTGGCCTCTCACTGGAACAATTGAAACAGCTGCAGCGATTTGATCCATCTGTCGTGCCATTACGGGACACTGACATTGATTCCCTCAGAGATGCCAGAATAGAAGACATGATTTGGCTGGCAAATAAGGATTGTATAGGGTTTTTTATTGCAAAATTCATAAAATGCAAAAGCACATAGAAGGATCCTTAGAAATGAAAATTGCGAATGTTTGCTGTATGGTTTTCTTTCTTTTTTTTTTTTTTACCCAGCTGTTGTCGGGTCTGGTGATGGATGGCATAGTTGCTAAGGAAGCAGAAAAGACTGTCAGCAGTTGGACCAGGGACCAAGAGATTTGACCAAGAGACTCTACTTCATGGAGGAAGTAGTTGGGGGTGGTATGAGATTATATTCTGTGTTTTTTAAATAATTTTTTTCTTAAGGATTTAGCACAGTAAAAGGAAAAGGAGGTGCCTGCGGATATCTGGAGCATATTTTCATTTGGGGTTTTGTGTTTTAATGTGTAAATAATGTAAGTCATTTTTAATGTTAAAATGTGTGATTGTAACAAAGGAATAAAATGAGCAATATTTAATTTGGTAAAAAATGTTCTTGAGTTCCTAAAGAAGTTCCCTAAGAATTCAGGGTATGGGAACTCTGTTTTCCATGTATCCATAACTGAGTTGAGCATTTTATCAGAGTTTTTCTGTTTACTATTTGATAAATCAACTTTTTTTTTTTTTTTAAGATTTATTGATTTATTTGAGAGAGAGAGAGTGTGAGTGAGAGCGGCTAAGGGAGAGGGAGAGAGAATCTCAAGCAGACTCCGTGCTGAGCACAGAGCATGACACTGGGCTCGATCTCAACGACGCTGAGCTTGAAACCAGGAGTTGGATGCTTAACCAACTGAGCCATCCAGGTGCCCCTTAAATCAACTCTTTCAAATGAAGTCTAGATCTCTCCTAAATGGTAGTGTGCCTTTACCAAGTTTACTTTTTTCCATGCTTTTAAAAACCCAAAACAAATATTTTCTTCACTCTGTACATTAAAATTATGAGAATATTCCACAATTTGGGTACCTTTCATCATCCATCGGAACACCTATTATACAAGTTAATGTAATATGACTGGGGAGATGGAAAAAAACCAGCTTCTGGTAGCTGGGAACTGTCTTGGCACTTACACCTTGGTGTTCTCTTGAACATAAACAAATTCACTGAACACCAACATCAGACAAAGCAACTGTGAATATAGTACATCACAACAAGAAAAGACCACTTCATAATCAAAATCTAGAATCCAAAAAAAAATACAAACATCCCCTTAACTGCAAAAGTGACCAAACATCCCACTGTTAGCGGCCAACATGTGACTGCTTTTATTAAAAATTATAACCTTAGGCTTGCTTCATCCTACTGCTTTTTAGATAAGACATGTTAAAATACTCAATACCCAGCCCAGTTTAAAGGCTGTCTCCTATAGTGTTAAATACATTTAAATGTTTTAACTTTCATTTGGATCACCCCCGAGTTTCTCAGCCTCGGGTATATAAATAAGGTGGACAGTTGGGAACAATTGCCTAATAGTTTTTTTTTTTCCTCCAAGGTTTCTATTAGGAATTTCTCTGACTGTTGTGTCCATCAAGATGGCAAGGTCTCTTGGATCAGGTAAGATCTTTAGCAGGCCTCTTTGAAGAAGCCTTTCTTGAACATCCTTCGCGGAGGTTGGCTTAGGCATTTCTGTCTTTCCATACACCCCCTAGGAACCACTTCTGCCCTCATGGCACTGAACACACTCCCTCTTAGTTTAAAAGGCATGCTCCTTACCCCTCCCTCCCCCCAGGCCCCGGAAACTCTTGGAGGCAGGAACCCTGTCTTTTCTCTCACTGCTTTAGAGCAGATCATCAATACATGCTTATTGAATGAGGGACAAGATATTTCACGCTCCAAAAGATTCAGCTATGTGACTGACTTCTTTATGTCCCTCATTCTGCCTTTTTATCCAGTAGATCTTCTTGGACTAAAGAGAAGCACTGTTGACCTATGTAATTCCGTTTTTAGGGCTCTGCACATTTCTCCAAACTTTGTTTTAAAAAATGCATGTCTTCTCATGCTCTCTGCCAAGCCTTACGTGCTCAGCTGAAAATCGTAGACAGGGAGACGAGCAGTAGACATGTAAACTGTTGATTGATACTGACAAATAGCAAAATACAAGCGATGCAGGCAAAACAAAAGAAAAATATTTGCATATTAAGAACAGGAGGACAAAGAATAATTTAAAAAATGTTGGCTTTGACAAAGACCTTTTCAGTGGGTTTCATTCCTTCCAAAAATGGGGCAAATTGGAAAATAAGACACAATCTTAAGGGACACAAAGTTAAGAAAAAGTAGAATAAAAAGGGAAAAAAATCTGGGAAATGTGGAGGAAAAGAATATATTCTCTCTTAACATATTTCAGGGTTAACATAGATATTTCTGTGAAACAAAAAATTCCAATTTAACAGTGAGTACATTTTACTTCAAAACCCTGTGCCACATTTTACTTTAAATAGTAAGGTGAAGTATAAATATAATATAGCCAGAATTAAATAACTGGCCTAGAATCATCTAGTTACCTATTTTCTCTATGTGACTCTTGATATATTACTAATAAGATGAGAGTATCCAAGACTAGCAGCATTGTATCATTGAGCAAAGGGGGGGATAAGGGTGAGGATTTAAATTTGTCATCAAGATGGATCTTCATTTTATGAAGGAAGAATAAAAAAAAAATCTGAATCAAGAATTGCCACACATAGTGAATTAAGGTGGGAGAAAGCTTACTCGGCTCCTATTTTAAAAGATCTTTACCTTCTGTAAACTAGCATTTTATCAGACATAATGGGAAATCACTAAAGTAACCTTAGGGATTAGCATTGCCCTTAAGAAAGATGCTCCACCGTGAGAAGTGCTGTTGAAAATCTGACATATTCTCAACTATAAGAATCATTCCTAAAATGGCAATTAATACTACTACTAATAAACAGTGCAGAAAGCCAGCTCTTTATTTGTTTTATATGAATGACTTTAAACCAGATTTGTTGAACAGTTCAGTGTAGCTGACAGTGGATGTTTAACAGGAATGCACAGCAGACCATGTTAAAAAATGTGGCATGGTCCCAAAGTACAATATGACTAAGACATCCTACATTTAGCAGCACCTTTTTGTAACAGTAACTTAAATGAGCAGTAGAGAAAGAGCATAGGAAAAACTTAAGTGGGTTTGACAATAAAACACAGAACTATTAAGAACAGTTCCATTTCCAGCATTTTCTAGGTTGACTACAAAGACCATGATTCTACAACTGAGTAGGTTAAGGTTAAGCCTTTGCTGAGTGAAAAGACTAATTTTACATTCCACAAGTCCGTAAAATCTCCCATTGCCCTTGGGATTATTTCTTCATTTACAAATTGAGTACACACTGTTCACACATATGCCTGCTGTACAGTTTTCACGTACAGATGCTCAGAGTCAAATCCTGCAATATAGTTTTTTGAAGAATACTCTGATTTGGACTAGTATGTTTCACAGTAAAGTGAAAAATTAAGACTCCAGGTAAAAAGTTTTAAAACTGGAATCTGTTAGCATGACTCTCTGAAAGGGATTAGTGGTAGCAGCAAGTAAGATAAATACCAGTTATACTTCAAGAGTTTTAAATATCCCAAAGTCATTAATTGGGATGCAAGTTTTCAGAAATATTTTATACAAGTTAACTTTAACTGGAATATGGTTTCCCAATGATACGAATATTTTACATCAAAAATGTATATATTATGACTACTGTTTTTATATTCAATAAATAAATTTGTCAACAGTACAGAGCTAATTAACAGAAAGATTAATTCTGAGGAAAATGTTCCTTCTATTAGCTGATAAAACCCTTCAAATGTAACTCGTTTTTAAAACTGAGTTTTCTTGCAGGGGAAGGGAAATAAGGAGTTAAATGTGAAACAGTTTTACTTAGAAAGGTCCCAGAATTTTTGGCAAGAACCTGGAATAATCAAAGAAGCAAAACAAAAATAGATGAACTTATTTAACAAAATAATTTCATAATATACAGATCCGAAGTTAGGCAATTATAGCTCGGCATTTTCCAGGGACAAACTTCAGGTGCTGGGTACTTGCACACCTAATACTGTTTTACCTGTCCAGTCATGACTGGACAAAATGTACACATAGCGACAAGGAGAAGGTGGTTTTAGCCTTTAGCGTGACAACCACACTGTGAGCTGCTTACGGCGTTTTCATTGAGGCATGGAGAATAGTATCTTCTGGGTTCCCCTTCAGAGTAGATGTCTAATGGAGGAAGATATTCTTAACATTTTGTTCACTTCAAGTCACCTCATTTTGCCCTGATTACTTCTGAAGAGCAGAAACTTTGGTTATAAGAAGCACTTCTAGGTTTTGATGGACAGCGAAACTGTTGGGAGTTGGCGGCAGGGAATGGAATGAAGGGGGAAACTGAAAGGAGATAAACAGCAGGAACCATAGGCAAGGTTAGAAAAGGAGGAGGTGGGAGAAGTTAGAAAAATTTATTTTCCCACGAAATAATTCTACAAGCTGTGTAAACATTTCTTACTAAAACAAATACTCAAACACACAAAGATTGTACATTTCCAGTGAAACACTCACAGTTAAAAGTTGCCTGTATTTCTCCTCTCTAGGAGCAAAAACAAGGAGCCAGCGGATGAATGCCTTCCTAGTCACCTTTGGCAGCAAGCTTCCTCACATTCCCTGACTGCTCAATAGATTCTCAAAGCAACACGTAGCACAATTAAATACAAAGCCAGGTGGGTAGAATTCTAAGTATATCAGTCTTGAGTCTTGAGCACTCAGCTCCATCTCAGTCACTCTTACACACTCGTACACACAGACGCACTTGCATACGGAGGTCCGGCTCGTAAACTCCAGTGCAGTGACGTAAGACACTAGCTACTAAGAATGTGTGTGTCACAATCAGTGTGAACTGCATGGATTAGAACAACCTTTGGAGTTTGGTTATATTTATACCATAATTTATGGTCAAAATTATAAACTTACAAGGATGGTAAAACATTCAGAAATCAAACCTCTTCAAGTCAGGCAATCACACGTATTTACAGTATGTACAGACTTTCTACTAGAATGGGGATAGGTGTCTAGACGATATTACAAATTTCCTGAAGGTGGGCATTTCTAGTCCCTGTAATTCATAAAGCAAATCTGCTGACTTGGCATTAAGACTCTAAAATAGTGTGATCAAACATATATATATATGTATATATATATTATATATATAATTATAAGAAGGTGTTTGCAGAAATAACATTTACAAACTATACAGTACACAGTACTAGTACATAGAAAATAGATTCTAATTTTATGATCCCCTTTGTGTAAGGCAAGACTGAATCTGTCCCCAAATTTAGTCAGCCAGAGGTACAAGCAAGAGACAGTGGTCCATGGTTAAATGAATATGCAAATCAGGTGCCTACATATTAAAAATCTGGAGCATCAAGAAATTCCACTTTTTACCTGGGCCAATTCTGGCTTGCTGGATACATTAACTACATTTTTGAAAACATCAACTATGTTTCTTAAAATACTAATGCCACCTGGATGGCAACAGATTTTGTTCAAGTGGCAGCGATCCCAAACAAACAGTTTTTGAAAAGTCCAGTATACAACCGGAGGTCTGCAGCCATACCAGGCAAATTTATGTAGCACTTACAAAAGAAAAAAAAAAGTATATTAATACTCTCTATCATGCTATTGCTCTTCAAGCAACAGCAATACAAAGTATACAGGACAGATCACATATGACTGCAATGTAGACCCCAAAGATTGAGTCTGAGGGTGGTGGTATACAAGACTTAAAAAAAAAAAACACAAACGGGCAAAAGTCACTGGCGGATGTAAACATCCCTGTTCCACTCCCCAGCCTCGTTCCGTTTTTTGGAGATGCCTTCTCCGTCCTTGTCACAATAGTGATCCTTGGATTTATGCCGGCTCCGTTGCTTGTTGCACTCGTTGTGGTCCTGCTCTCGATCCAGGTCCCTGGAACGGTGCCGAGACTCCCTGTGTCTGTGCTCACTGCTCCCATGGGGCTCATCTCGGTGGTTATGGTCTCGGTGGGGGGCATAGTGGTCCACGTGTTCGTGGGAATAATCTTCCTTCGGCTCCGCATAGGCAGAGTCTCGACTCTCCTGGGTTTCCGAGTCAAATGTCTCCTGCCTGGAGAGGCCTCGACTCGTCCCACTGCGATGGCTGTGGTGCTGGGCAGAGGAGGAGGAGGACCGGTGCTGGGGCTTCTTGACGGGTTCCGGGCAGGGTTCATCTTCAGCTTGGGAGGCAGCCCGGGCAGGAACGGAGCGCTCAGTCCTCTGATCGCCGTGACGAGCCTAGCAGGGAAGGGAGCAAACACAGGCATCAACCAAGGTCAGTGTGATGTCATGAGAGCAAGGCTGCCCTTTCAGGGTTAGTCCCTTGTGAGTTTCGAAAATGAAATCTAACCTAACTCAGTTACTTAATTCTTTTGATAACATCCGGTGGCATTTACAAGGTTTGTACTATATTATACCAGACTTTTTTTTTTTTTCGAAGGTGGGGAGGGCATCCTTTTATATGTTCTCCTGGGGTTTAAATCAGATACAAGTGTACATTTCACTACTTCTACGTGAATACTTATGGGAAGATTAAAGATGTTGGCTTTAGCTTAAGGGGGAAGAAATAAAATATCAGATGCTTACATATAGCACTTAGTCTTCTGTATTCACTCAGTAATGCAGCAGCCCTGGGAGACAAGTTGTCTTCCTGAGGCAAAGGGCAGGTAAGCAACTTCTCCAACCTTATACACCCAATAAGAGGTGGAGCTGGGATTTGAACCCAGGCAGTCTGATCCCATGGTTGTCCTACTGACAGTGTAGAAAAATACTACCCTTGTCTTACAGGACATGTAGTTAGGGAGTTTATATATGTTTGTAGTGTATTGTTTATACAGTTTTTCTTATGGGTTCACAACTCACACTGAAGACAGTAAATGACTCAGTGTAACAGGCACTGTGCTGGGTGACTGGGCTTGGATCCCAGCCAGGTGACCTAAGGCAGCCTAGTTAAGGCTTAAGAAAGAGCCCCTCTTACCTGTGAATTAGAGGCTTGAGTGGGGCTACTGGGCAGAGTTGAAGTGGCTAAAGTACGACTAAGGAGAGGGTTGGGGAGATGGCTGCTGGGAGGGTGGGTGGCCTTCCAGTACGCCTCCAGATAGTCAGCAAGGTGCTCACAAGCATCCTCGAGCTGGTTCTCATCCAGGATCACGTCAAACAGTTCCTGCAGCGGCAAACATTTCCGATGACACACTTACACCAGCCCAGCACTGAGTTTCACCCACACTCACAAAAGGAAGGGGCTCATGTGCTTCTGCTTTCTCCTTTTCAGACTGGCTGAATGTCCTGTTGAGTCAGATTGCATCTGTCTACCTCAGATCATTGCTCACAACCCTAGATGCTTAACCAATAGCAATGACCAAAAAGTGAAGGGTATAATGATAGTTGTTTAGGACAGGATAGAAAAGAGAGGTTGAAAAACTTAATCTTGGAAATTACTGAGGCAAGATTAGGACATGAAATTTGGCAAAAGAAAGCTGAAACCACTGATAATTTGACAGTGCCCAAACTTCAAAATATGCCAAGTTCTTATAGCTTCTGATACATCTGCATATCAAAACAAAAACTTACAGGTGTTCTATAGTCCCAAAGCATGATATGTAAAGCAGGGATCAGGAGGAGGAATGTGTTCAGGTATCAGAAGCTAGGTAACTTGATTGTTCAGAAAAAAAAAATTTTTTTACATGGTCTCAAATCAGTTATTAAGAACTGGAACTATTAGAAGCAAATAATAAATCCCAAACAGATCCATTTTATAAACCAAATTTTGAAAACAATCTTGTTTCATTTAGGATACGTATTAGATATTAAAGCGAGGTCACCACCGAATGCACTGGAGCTTTTTGTAAGCCATGATCTAGACAAATGCTCATGGGAGAAGGTAGGGCAGTTCACTTTTGGGAATGAAGACCATGGCTAAGTGGGGAGAATTCTCTCCCCCGACACCTGTTTACCTGTCTGGTTATTGCCCGCTTGCTTTCTAAATATATAATCAGGGTGGAGTATACTGTATACGGAGATGACTTACTGGAGGACACTGAGCCAGTTTATCAGCTGCTACCATCTGGACATTGAGGTGTTTAGCTTGAGATTTCCCTCGAGATTTTATTAACCTTTGTAAAACCTGTGAAAGATAAGATTTAACAAGAAGAATATCTGCACTTAGGTAAAGAACAAAGTTTGTTATTCACTCTAGGGCCTTTTTATTTATAGCCCAAATGGTTTATAATAGATTGAGCTATAAAATGTATAAAGAAGATAACTAGCATGGAGCTTATTCATGACTCTTACCTTTTTTCAAAGCTAGCAGTTACCAAACTTGTCTCATGACTCCTTTATGTTTAAAAAAATTGAGAACCCCAAGAGCTTTTGTTTATGTGAAGTATAATGTTTACCATAGTAGAAACTACAATTAAACATTTTTAAATATTCATTTAAAAATGATAAACCTGTTACATTTTAACAAATTATTTTTGTAAAAATATGCTTGGCTTCATAAAAAAAACCAAAGTCTCCTAGCTACATTTACATTTAACCTGCTACAGTGTCTTGTTTTGGTTGAAATAATGTGAAGAAATCTATCCTTCCACAGATGGGTAATTCAGAAAAGGAGGAGTACTGTAGTAGCCTTTTCAGGAACTGTGGATACATTGTTCTTTGATATTACACTCAACAAGTGGTAGTTTCTTAAAGACTAGTTGCCATGTGAAAGCTTTAACCCTATCAATGAACTTTTCTTACTGTTAAATTTCATTGCATTGGTTTATCTTGAAATTTGAAATTTTACCGTGCGTGATTTGTAACATCATTCATTGATCATTTGAAAAATAATGGTTCACTGAATTCTTCAGATCTTCCAAATGTTGACACACTTCTTATACAATATTAAAGCAACGCTCTTAGGTGGATACAAATTTTCTGAAATTTTGAGTTTTATCACTGGTGACAAATGGGAGAATATCTGCCAAATAACTAAGTCTTAATAAACACAGCATGTCAGTTCTTTCAAATAAAAATGGTAAAAAAAAGAGGCTCCTTGAGTTTATAACTTGAATAGTCACTGAATGTCCTCAAGCTAACTGGTAAAAGTGCTTCAGCTATTCAAGTTTCATAACACAGAATATTGAAAAGCCTTGTATTTAAGAGTCAAAATTTAGTAACATTAATAAACGTTACTACTTTTTCAGGACATGTGTCAGTGAAACTGGATGGTGGTGGTGTTTTTAACTGGGAGCACTGTCTCCATTCATGGACACTAGCAGTTTTACCCACCACTGCTTTTGCACCCTCAGTGCAAATGTCAAAACAGTGAAAAAGGAGAATGATGTCTTAGTATTTTTATGGAAATAATTTTGACTTCATGGACTCTCTAGAAGTTTCTCAGAACCTTCCCCCAGGAAACCACGGACCACACTTTGGGAATTGCTGTTCTAAGCCATGAAACTAAGATTCAAGTAAGCAAAGCATGATTATTAAAGACTTGACTACCCTGTCTCATCAAACTCTTTATGATGGATAGAGATATAGCTTGTTATAACTGTAAAGCAAAACATATACAATTAGTTAGGTTTGATTAGAGAGCAAATAACAACCCTACTTACCTTAGGAGAAGAAATCTTTACATATACTATAATAGGGGCCAAAGAAGTTTTACTGAGTTGAGCTGGATGATTAATAGTATCCGCATCAAGGACTACCAGTTGCAATGTTCTTGCAAGTTCAAAAATCCTTTCGATTTCACTCTGAACTTCCGCTGTAAAAGGTTAAGCAGAGTTCAATTAAAGTATTTTTAAACCAAATTGAAATAAAAATGGTACACTGTTTCTTCAACAAGAAGGGAAGTAGGGCAGCCAATAGGTTCATGTTTACAGGCAATCAAGGTGATAAAAGGTATCTTTTGGAAAGAGCTGGCTCTCCACAGAACCTTTAGAATTGAGGGAATTCGTCTCTCAACCAGCTCTAAAATTTGCTTCCAGTGTAACACTCTTCGTGCTATAAAACTTCTCTGTGAAATCATTTCATAAAGACATTGTAAAATACAAACTTAAGGATATCTTTAACGTGTCTGTTTCTGACCATGTTACCATAGCAACTATCACCATGTTTCTTTTCACTGCATCAGCTTAATCTGTGTTTATACTGTCACCTATTGGTATGCTTTCTGGATATGATAACCTAGATATGTTTATTAGCAAGGTGAAATCCAACATAAAATAGGAGGGACGTTAATAGTATCTGTAACAAACTTGTCCAAAAACACAGAACTGGTGGTTGCCAGAAGGGAGAGGGGCGGAGGAGGGGGTGAAAAAGATAAGGGGATTAAGAGTACACATATCTTGATGAGCACTGAGAAATGTATAGAACTGCTGAATCATTATACTATACACCTGAAACCAGTATAACACTGTATGTTAATTACACTTCAATAAAAAAGGGAGAGAGGTGAGAAATGTATCTGTACTAGAGATTTTCCTTTGACAGAGTCCATCATGCTCAGAATTTCAAAAAACAAATGGCCAAAGACTTCCTTAGCATTCTTTCCTGAAATTGAAAAGCAGTCTTAAAGTCAGTTTATTCCATCAATATCGTCCTACCCAGTGAAAGGATGCACACTCCGCATCTTGAAGATGGGCAGGCCTTACTCATCTGTCCACATCCTACAGTCCCTCATACCCACGGAGTTAAAATTGGCACTGGTAAAATGAGTAACATTTTTGTCAGTGCTTTATATCTGACATTGAAAAGCAATACTCAGGAACAATCATAATGTTTTCTCCAAGACAAGAAAAAGTTAACTTCTGTAGAAGTTTCTGTAACTGAACAATACTTGTAAAAATAGAGTGAGGAGATTGTTACTTTCATTGTGTTATAGGAAATCTAAGTGGTCAGTTAATAATAAAACTATGATATCATTCTAGTATCAGTTATTGAATGATAACTGCAATGCCATTTGCATAATCACTAAGCACAAAACTCTAATTCTGACAAGTGCCTTCTTTGTCCCCAAAAAAGGAAATCTCTAAAGCCTTCTCTAAGCACCTTTTCCTTTCCCCAAGCCCAGTTAAGTTCTGCCTCTGTGTTCCTAACTCCCTGGCACCAAAGTGGCTTGGGGCAGAAATAGTCTTCATTACTTCATAGAGCTATGTGATCCTTGGGAAACATACTTAACTTCTTGGAGCCTCAGTATTCTTTTCTGGAAAATGGAAATGAGAATTAAATGAACCAACATACAAACCATCTATTACAGTGTCTGGCCCATAGTAAGTAATAGATGTCAAGTACCGCTGACCCTTGAGCAACATGGGTTTGAACTGTGCGGGTCCCTTATATGCAGATCTTTTCAATAAGTACAATACAGAACCGTCAATGTTTCTCTTAGGATTTCCGTAACAGTTTTTTCTCTAGCTTACTTTATTCTAAGAATACAGTATATAGTACATCTAACATACAAAACGTGTGCTAATCAACTGTTCATGTTATCAGTAGGGCTTAGGGTCAGCAGTAGGCTATTCAGTTTTTGGGGAGTCAAAAGTTATACCTGGATTTTCCATGTGGGGGTTGGTGCCTCTAACCCCCATCATTCAGGGGTCAACTGTAGTGCTTTGTACCTACCTCTATTAACAATTATCCCGCTGAATTTCAATGACAGGATTGAAAATGTTCCCAACAGGCAGTGAACCGAGAGAACAATACATAATTAGTTCTATTCCTTCCCTTACAATACAGTGCCTGGTACAAAGTTGGCACTCAAATTCTGTTGAAAGAATGAGTCAATTAAATAACGAATTTGACTACCAAAATATATGTAGACAAAGTGAACTACTCCCCTTGGGTAGAGATTGGTAGAGCTGGGCCATCAATGCTGTGTGATGGAACAAAGAGTGTACTAATTTCTCGAGACAGCTATAATGGTAAGAGATCAAAAGGAGGAAAGAAATTAGATTCAAAAGATCAACTAGTCACATAAATTCCACGTTCATCTGCAAGGCTAATTTTATAGCCTTCTGTCATCAGCCCTTCACTCTCCATTCTTCCTAAGAGGGGGCAGATGGTCAAGTAAATGCAATCAAGCGTCACTGCCACATGGCACTGCTCAATGGAAAAAAAATCTGTACTGCTAGTCAAGATCCCCAAGGGCCCAGTCTTAGTTTTATACCTTAGTATAAAACTACACAGAGCTATTCATTTCCTGTGGTTCTCAGATTTTTTTTAAGAGAGAGAGAGAATGCACACATGAGTAGGGGGAGGGGGAGAGGGAGAAGCAGACTCCCTGCTGAACAGGGAGCCCGACGCGGGGCTCGATCCTAGGACCCCGGGATCATGACCTGAGCCGAAGGCAGACGCTTAACCTACTGAGCTACGCAGGCGCCCCTGGTTCTCAGATTCTTCACTGTGCAGTGACAGGCTTGAAGGAAGTTGGTAGTCCTCCCATTTTGGCATATACAGTAGAATCACCTGGCGGGCTTGTTCAAACAGACTATAGGGCCCCACCTCTAGAGTTTCTGATTCAGTAGGTCAGGTTTGGGTCTGAGAACTGTCATTCCTAACTAATGTCCCATGATGTTGACGCTGTTGATTTGGAGAACACACTTCAAGAACCACTGAACTGAATGCTCTCAGGTTTGTCACCCCAGTTCTAAAGTCTGTGGTGCTATAACATAAGTGATGAGCTTTGCTTAGTTGAAACTTTTACTGAGATAATTATAAATTCACACGCAGTTGTAAGAAAAACACAGAGCTCCCTTGTACCCTTTACCCAGTTTTCCCCAGTGGAAACCTCTTGCAAAACTATTGTGCAGTATCACAACCAAAATGTTACTGTGATCCACCAATCCTATTCAGACTTCTCCAGTTTTCCTGTACTCCCTGCATGTATGTCTATTTAGCTGTATAGAATTTTATCATATGTGTTGGTTCATGTGTCAGCACTACAGTTAAGAGGAACCTTTCCATCACAAGAATAAGTGGCAAAATAAATGGTCTAAGCTAGCTCTTCAATTGGGTTAAAATACTTACCAGGTTGGAAACATTGTTATCTATCCACCTGTGTTGCTAATACACAAAGTAAATGCCTTTCCTTACTCCTTGCATGCCATCAGCTACAACTGTTGCCATGTGCGCAGCTAAATCCGCCTTTGCTTCCTTAACTCTTGCATATTTGCTCAATATTTTCCCACCTTTAGCACACAGTTTTTGCTCTTGTGTGGTACACACAGGCATTATATTCACATCTCTGTGTACAAACGTGTGCAAAGATGTACCATCTTTCCCTAAATTGATTTGTCTCTGGGAAAGTGCTTGGGGTAAAACCAAACCATACTTTTGAAGAAGTTGGGCAGTTTGAAGAAACACCAAGGTGACTCCTCTTAGAAAGCAATAATATCATTATCTAAATATATTACTTTTAAAAGTTTGGACTTGGGGCGCCTGGGTGGCTCAGCTGGTTAAGCTACTGCCTTCGTATGATCCTGGAGTCCTGGGATCGAGTCCCACGTCGGGCTCCCTGCTCAGCGGGGAGTCTGCTTCTCCCTCTGACCCTCTTCCCTACTCATGCTATCATTCTCTCTCTCAATAATAAATAAAATCTTAAAAAAAAAAAGTTTGGACTTGGAATTGGCAAATAACTGGGTACCCACACCCATAACTATTTACATTCAAATAATATTTTTATTTCTAAGAATGCAATGTTCTTTATTTGCATTCCCTACGTTTGAATAGCTAATGTAGATATCTTAAATTGTGATGCAACGGGGACAAAAGGTTAGAACTTGATGAGTCTTATGAGTATAAATAAAGCCATGTGTCCGTGCAGAGAAGTCCTGTACCACCCCAAAACAGCAAAGAAGATGTACTTAAGTCTTCAGATTTTTCAGGGTTTTCTTTTCCTTCCTATCATACAGAGGTCCATCAGCATAATAAACTCCAAAGGCAACATACTATACTTTTGTTTATATAACAGAAGTTGTCTAAAGCAAATTTTTACCTATCAAATTATATCTTCACTCTGCTGGATCTTTCATCCTTTTGTAAAAGAGATAAATGCTGAAATTGATCTCCTCTATTAGATTTGAGGTAGATCTTCTCAAATTTAACCTCAACTAAATATAGAAGAATCTTAAGGTATAGCATATCCACATATACGTACATTCCTGGAGTGTTCAAGTATCAGTTTTGTACTGTTAGATCATAAATATGTTTCCTATACAATAGAGTCCACATAACATGCATAACTTGTTACTCAACATGTTGTAGTGACACAGAAGAGGTATCAGCTGACCATTCTCCTGTCTGTTATCATGACTTATTTCCTAGTGCTGCCATAAAAAATAAAAATCCTCACACTTACAGAGGAACCTACCCCTGTGTTTCCCTGGGAGCAGACTCCGTATTTGCTAGTACAGTGTTCACGGAGACTTTATAGAACGTAACTACTGTGACTATTGAGAACTGACTGCATCTGAACCCCCATCCTCTGTGCCAAGTTCCAGGTCTGTACGTACAAGTGATTGCCTGCTGGGTATTTGGATGCAAATTCAACGTGTGCACAAATGCAGCTGTCATTTTCCTTATCCCCAATTCAGGCCACTCCCTCTAGCTCCTCATCCTGAATCCCTTCTCCCCAGAATAACACCATCAGTGACCCAGCTTCTGAAAGCAAAACCTTAGAGATCATGCTGGAGTTGGCTTCTTCATGTTCCATAGATTGCCCATACCGGACTCTCTTATCTCTGGATTCCTTTCATTCTACTCATCCCCTGTGCCACTGTCTTATTTCAGTCCTCTCTTAACCTCTACCTTGAGTGATGATGACAGCCTACAAAATGACCTCCCTGTCCAACTCTTGCCCCATCTCCACCCCACTACTATAGGGATTCTCCTAAAGGCACCAGTTTTATAGTTTCTGCACAGAGTACATTATTTCTCCCTGAATCTGCTTCAACAGAATCTTGAGTTTTTCCCTGAGTTGGCTCTTGCCCCGTTCCATTTTCTTCTCCACAATGCTGTAGGCGATCCTTCTAAAACACAAGTCCTGTCGTGTCATATGGTCTGCTTTCCTACACCTTTCTACCAACATCCACAATAAAAGCCCTATAGAGTCCTACATGATCAGGCACCATCTCTCTGACCTCCTGCCCCCTGGTCATTCCACATCTGTTACACTGGCTTCCTCACTATCCCTTAAACATATCACACACATTCCTGCCACGGGGCCTTTGCACCTTCAGTTCCCTCTGCCCAAAACAGTCTTTTCACAGGTAGCTGTAAGGCTAAAGAATTCACAACAAATCATTCTGCTAAAATGTCATTTCCTCAAAGAGGCTCCTGTCTTCCCCATGTAAAATTACACTCTTCTCAGCTTACTCTCTACCCCTTGGCCTGCTTTTTCTTCCCAGACTCCTCAACCACTGACTCCTACATCTATATCTTTTATCTCAACACCCACCCCTCCCCTTACACACACTATCCTGAATATGACATAATCACTGATAAAATTCCGTTACTGAGGGTCTTTGGATAATAGCTATCCTTGATGGAGAACACACTGTGTTTAATCCTTACAATAATGCTACAGAGTAGTTAATATCTCTCTCTTCTGTTGTTGCTGTTGCCTAGATGAGGAAAGGAGGCACTACAGAGGTCCATGAGCTTGCTCATGGTAACACCAATGCAAAGCCAGGAATTTTTAGTGTGTACACAGCAAAGCTCACATTAGTCAAAACAAAACAAAACCCCACAACCAAAACATTAATGCTGACAGCCAGTGGAATATTTAACTCGAAACTATCATAACAAATCTTTCCTTAGCATGAAATTACTAAAACTGTAGCACTAGCCACTGGCAACGTGGGTCCATTTCTTCTTTGCTCTGTGACACATGGAATTAACCATCTAGTTAGAGCTTCTCACTGGCAACCTCGGGAGAGAAAAGTTTAAATAGGCTAAGCCCAAGTCTACTGCACAGACTTACCTAAGCTTGACCTTGTGTTGGATCTTTCTATTATGGCATGCTTGCTGGGATTGTTTAACACTGAGCGCTTGGCGAGCGAGATGTCAGCCGTGACCCTTGTGATGGATATCCTGTTGGGGGAAAAGTAACACAAGACCCTGAGGTTATTAAGTGAATATAAGGGGGTAGAAGTACATTCCCCAAACTCACCTAAGTTTGAAATACATAGTGAACAGTATTTTCAAATGAAAAGATGTTAGGGCACCGAATCATTCATTTTTGCTTACCCTGCACCTCCTTACTTGGCATTTATCATTTGCTTACCAAGTACTAAGCACTGTAAACTGGATTACCTCCCTGAATTATCCCCAAAATTCTAGCAGAGAGGCTTCTTCTAGTCCCACTTTTGCTGATGAAGAAAATGAGCCAAAGTAGGTTATTTATCCAAGGCTATATATTTCTAAAAGGTGGAGCAGGGATTTGAACCCAGACTCTGGAAAATCTGGTTTCTTAGCCCCTGAACCAGAAGTGTGGTGCTATGATAAGCACAAAGAACAAGTAAGAGTAAGAACAAGACAAACATGATCTCTCCTCAGACAGCTAACAGTCTAGTGGAAGAGATGGGCAATAAATAAGAAAATTAACTGGTAAAATTAACTAAAGCTCAAGATGGCTGTTGTGGAGAAGACAGTGTTGTGTCAGGTAGTAAGGAGTTAGGGGGCCATTTTAGGTATGGTAGAAATGACAGCACCACAATCTGGAAGCTGGAAACAGTAAAAGGACTTAGACCAGAGATAGCCAAATATACAAGTAATAGAAAAAGCCGTGGGGTAAAATAGAAGCCTCACAATACCCTTGAAGACAACGGTAAAAGGGAGACTAAAAACAGAAGGTTTGGTGAAAGTCTGTTTCAGAGTTAGAGCCCTCCACCTCCCTTCTGTTACATGAAGTTGCCAGGTGATGCTCCTTTCCCTGTGTGATAGAAGATTGCTGGTTTATTCTCTACAGACAGTAACATGCAGGGCCTGTGACCAGGAGACCCCAGGCAGAGTGAGGACAGGGACACTAGATGGAAAAGAAAGGATTCTAAATGGTGAGCCCCCAGCCTCTTCCCCATCTTGAGAATTTTGATAGCCAGGCTTCCATCCTCCAGGGGTCAGAATGGAAGCGCTTTTTCCCTGGGACATCTGACTGCCAAAGGGAAAAAGACTCCAAAACAGTAACACTGGAGGTTTCCTATGGACATGGTCCAGTGAGGTTGTCCTATAGGGAAGCACAAAGCTGACAAGCTCCATCTATGAGCACGGAATTTCCAAGTGATTATGTGATGTCCCATTTTTAAATTGGAGCACCATAGTGTTCACTGAGCATCTTAAGGAAAACCTCTCATATGAGAGCCCAAACAAACGGAAGTCAGTAAGTGAACAATACAGCTGACTCCTGCAACAACATGGGGGTCAGAGGCATGGACATCCTGTGTTATCAAAAATCCACATAGAGCTTTTGGCTTAACTACTAGTAGCCTACTGTTGACTGGAAGCCTTACCAATCACCTAAACAGTCTATTAACAGATGTTCTGTATGTTACATATATTATATGTTGTATTCTTACAACTATACCTAGGTTTTTCTTAATTTTTCCAGATCGTCACAGTCCTCCCCCAAATTTTCCAACATATTTATTGGGAAAAAAAAAATCCTCCTAGAAGTGGAGCCACATAGTTCAAAGCCCTATTTTTCAAGGGTCAGCTGTATTCAAACGTGAAAGCTAAGAAATTGTTATATCTGTGAAACTGTAACAAATTTCTATTTATTTGTTTGCTTACTTTAAAGATTTTATTTATTCATTTGAGAGAGAGAGAGAGAGAGAAAGCACAAGCTGGGGAAAGGGCAGAGGGAGAGGGAGAAACAGACTCCCTACTGAGCTGGGAGCTGGACGTGGGGCTCGATCCCAGGACCTGGAGAACATGACCTGAGCCGAAGGCAGACGCTTAACCATCTGTGCCACCCAGGCGCCTCAAATTTCTATTTAAAAAGTCAGAATGAGTTTTTGGCAATTAAAAATGATAGTAGAAAGAAAAATTCAAAAGAAGAGAGCTGGGACATAAAAGTTAAACTCTGAAGGGTCAAACAAACAAGGCAAAGAGAAAGAACACAGAAGAAAAGCTATACAAATGAGAGAATCACCCAGGAGTTTCAACTTCCAAATAACAAGAACTCCAGAAAAAAGAGTAAAGAAAGCAGAGAAACTTAAAAAAAAAAAAAAAAATCCAGAATTAAGAATCTTGATTTTCCGAATCGACAAGGTCCAGCACAGACAGAGGTTGAGAGTTCTATTACTGGGACGTACTCTTACAAATTTCATGACACAGAAGACAAAGAAGAAAGACAGGTCCCACACCGAGGGTCAGAAATGGAAGTGTTCTGTACTTCTCAACATTGGAAGCCAGAAGAGAATGGGGCAGAGTTTTTTCAAAATCCTAAAGGGAAATTATTTCAGCCAGAATTCTCTAGCCGTTTTAACTCTCAGTGAAATGGGAGGGTTGATGAAAGACACTTCTAGACATTCAGGGCCTCAAAAAGTTATGTACTTTTATAGGGAAACTATTGGAGGATGCTGTTAAACTGAAATGACAGAGTAAAACCGTAGATCAATGGATCTAAGGAAAAGGGGCTCTGACCCAAGAGGAAAGTGAAAGGAATCCCAAGAATAATGGTGAAGGATGTCCCGGAATGACAAATGTGCACCCATCAAAGAGAGAAACCATCCAGACTAGAGATGGCCAGAACGCTCCCGGAGGTTCAAGAAGACAACACTGAGTGACGACAGGGTGCATTTCAGTATTACCGTGAGGAGGTTCAGACAGCTGGGGAGTTCAGGGCTGAATTAATGCCAAACACAGAGGAAGTTAAGCGAGCGTAAAAAGTAAAATTACTTATCTCATGGAAAACACAGAGGACAAAGTCATTATGGTGTATAGTATGGCTCATTTGAATATTATCCACAGAGTCACAATACATCCTAAGAAATGGAGCCAGCTGAAATTAGGATTTAACTGTTGGGAGACTGAAGGCGGAGATGGGCGCAGGATGGGAGAGACAGGAAGAGAATATGCACGAGAGCTACATATTCTGCGAGGTAGGAAGGTAGCAAATCAAGATTGCACGTTATTTAGAGGCAAGCAGTAAATAACCAAAAGATACAGCTAAAACAGTTTAGAGTGCTTACCAATTGAAGAGCAGGGCATTTGGTAACGTGTGGGAAGGGACCCTGGCTTTTGCAAAGAAATTTGTGTTTATCTGTATACCTTAGAATTCATTCTCTCTGGGGTATAGTTCTCCATGAATTTGGACCAATTCATAGAATTATCTACCTGTAACCACAGTCAAGAAATAATTCCATCCCCCCCCCCAAAAAAAATCCCCTTGTGCTGCCCCCTTTGTTGTGATGGGCACCCTCCTGGGGATACAACGGTGACCAGACAGACGAGACAGCGGCGTCACCCAGTCAGCCTGTGGGGAACTGATTCAGCAGCAGGACAGGATTTTCTGTAGTAATACATCCTCCTTCTCCCACATGCTTGGACCTTTCTGCACATGTCACTGCTCAGCTGAGAATCCACTGACCTGCTTCTGTGGTTAGCACTGTAGGCTATGAAGTTGGGTCACTATTCTATTTCAACTCCTACAGTTATGCTTTGGGAATTGTCACTACTTGGGATTCCGCCAAAAAGGAAACCTTGAAAATCCTAAGGGCAAGATTCTGGGGACAATTCAGTTTAGAGTAGTGGTTCTTAACCCTCATGGTATATACCAAGATTGCCATATAAGCTTTTACAGTTACAGAAGATCCTACCTTAGAGATTTGACCTCAGTTGGTCACAGGTAGAACACAAGCCCTTGTTGTTGGGTTGGTGTTTTATTTTTAAAAGTGCTGCAGATGATTCTAATGTGCAGCCAGGCTAGATAAACCACCAGTTTAGAAGAAGTTGTCTCACATCTAAGCAAGTTATCTACACGACAAAATAAAGTGATGCAATGTTGCCCAGGATTACTGATTTCCAGTAAGATTCCCTCACAGAAAATTCGACAGTTTACACATCCCTACAATTCCATTCCCATTCCAGACACTTCAGTGCTGACAGCTGACATTTTCAAAGTCACTGGGGAGGAAAACCAAATTCATCACTGGTGGTAGCTTTCCTTCTTGTCCTCAATTTCCTTGTTAATTTACCTGTCAATGTCCTACACAGTGAATCCAAAGATTGCTTTGTTTACATGACAGAGTTGGTTAGGATGGATCTGATTGTAAATGGGCTACTCTATTGCACACAACAGAAAGAAGATAATGAATTATCATCTATTCTTTGACCTGACACACTTATGCTATTTAACAGTCAGGATCACGATTCTGACAACTCCCCAGGGCTTCAACGAATGAAGTTAACTAGGTTTAAGAACAGAAAAGAATTCCTATCAAGAATCTTTTCATCACCAACACTTCCTTTCATATTTCATATTTTCTTCCCCTGGGGCTTCTAATTTTTTAAAATAAATTTAGTTTATTTAATAGATAATGAAGGACTGATTCATTTTTCCCTTTTAAAATTACATGTACATAGAAGTACCTGATACTTTTGCTCAGTTTCCGCCCCCTACTGCTTCCAAAACCAAAGACATTTAATGATTCAGGTACTCTGGGTGTCTTGCCATGGGTTAAAAAATTTTTGCATGGATTTTTGTAAGTGTATTTTATGGACCCTGTCCATTCCTTTGAGGATCTTTAGTTGGTGATCTCAAGCCTAGAATGTTGAACTTGAGCTCTACGAGTCAAATGAGCCAAGGCAGGTGTATTAATAAAGTCATGTGGAAATTACTTCTGGCCAGAAAGAGCAGACTGACAACATTCAGATATTTTGTTCATTTGTTTCTTAAATGAAATCAGTTTGGATGGGCTAATACTTTAGAACATGGGTCCAAGATATGCCCTATGGCTGGAATCTGTCTTCCAAATTCAGAACTTACTAAGTTTAAACAGTAAGGATGCCATCTCATTTCTCCATCTTTGGTATTTTGGAAAGGGCAGTGGGTTAACTCAGTCAGGGAAAGCATAGTGCTTTGTCTAGCAATTTTCTGGATGTGCATGCTCAAGGAGACAACCCCAAATTAGGATAAATGACAGAGCCAAGCATAAAGAACTAAACGGTAAATGAGCCTAATCAGGGGTATGCCTTTTTCACTTGGCCAGTGCCAGATAGCCTTGGACCAAGCCAAACGCTGTGTTTTCCTGGCCCAAACTAAAAAATACTTCATAAAGTTATGAAAAAAAAATCAAATTAGGAACGTGTGATTATATGGACTTGATTATAAAGTCTTTTTTACACCTGGGAACATAGTTTCTGCTTTTGTTCCTTTTCTGTCTCTTTCAGCCCTTTGCTTGTCCTGCTGTCAGTTTCCCTGTGTGTCCTTGCCTCCCTGGTGAAAGTCGATATAAATTACAAATGGCTGTAGGAGCAGGTGTGGTCAAGGAAGAAAGCAGTATACTAAGAAATTTAAAAGAATCTGAAACCCACACATACTATCTGTTGTATTGTTAGGATGTGAGAAGGACAGGGATGTAGAGGCACCAGATCTGTCTTGTTAAAAATACAGACATATAGGGGCGCCTGTGTGGCTCAGTCACTTAAGCGTCCGCCTTCGGCTCAGGTCGTGATCTCAGGGTCCTGGGATCGAGCCCCACATCGGGCTCCCTGCTCAGCAGGGAGTCTGCTTGTGCCCCTTCTTCCCCTCTACTCCTCCCCCCCTGCTCGTATGTGCACTCTCTCTAATAAATACATATAATCTTAAAAAATACAGAAATACGAACTCGCCCTGTGTGCTCCCAGGTCCCCTATAATCTACTCTTTGCTTAAATTTCGAAGTTTCCATTTTAGACTCCTATCATAGCTTTGATGCTTCAGGAACTGGCTTAACTTTGACCACAGAGTCCCTGGATTGTTTGACTTAAGGCTTCCTTCCAATTACCTAGAAATAAGCTTCATGAAGCCAAGGCCCTTGTCTGACTTTGTTCCTCACAATGCCCGGCACACAGAGTACACTCAATAAAATTTGTTGAAACAAGCTGAAGGGGGAGGGGAAGAGAGGAAAAGGATTACGTCCAAGCCGATTAACATGGCACTCTAGCTCTGTCACCAGTTACTCCTTGTCTAGAGACTTGACTTGAAGACCTCTAAGGAGCTTGCCTTCCACATGATGCTGTGTCACACCCTGATTCCTTCACCCATTTAACCCCCTCCACCGGACCGGCCTTTCTCTTTCTAATTCGAGTCGGTGAAATCTTAGCTGCCATTTAAAAACCTTTCCTAGATGTTGACATTCCTGTCAGTGTCAATCCTTCCTCCCTTTACGCCATGTGTACCTCGGACACGCAGGTGCTGAGCTGCCTGTCTGTTGCTTTACTTTGTAGTTTACTGCTCAAGGTTTCCATTTATGGTCAACACCTGAGGTGACTGTGAGTGGCTTCCCCATCTCTGCATTTCTTTAGCAGGGCATACATGGGAGACATTCAACACTCACCCACGTCCTGCTCACAATGAGCACAGTTCCAGGCATTGAGAACACAACAGTTCACACAGCAGATTGAAGAAAAACAAAAACAAAAGCAAAAAAGCCTGCCCTCATGGAGTTTTTGTTCTAACTGTGGGAGAATGACAATAAACAAAATTGATAAATAAAATATAAGAGTTATGGAAAGAGTCAGGGAAGAGGGAGAGAGAGAGAATGTGTGTGTGTGTGCACATATACCTAGGACAGTCTCTGAGGGAAATGTCTTCCCTCAGAAATGTCTTCCACAGGGAACTGCAAGTGCAAAGGCCCTGAGGTGGGCATGTATCTGGCTATCTGGAACATTCATGAAACCACAAGGAAGTCAGTGTGGCAGGAGCAGAATGAGCAAGTGGGAGAGTCTAAGAGATGAAGTCAAAAGTAAGGAGGGGGTAAGAGTGTGGTCAGACTAGAGAGGGTCTTAAAAGCCACTATAGGGACTTTGATTTTTATGCTGAGTCAAAAGAGAAGTCACTGGATGGATCTGAACAAAGCAGGGATGAGATCCACTCACAGTTTAACAGAATTGTCCAGGCTGCTGAATTGAGAAGAGACATCAAGGAAGCAACGACAGAAGCAAAGATACAAGTTAGGAGGCTATTTATGATGATAGTCCAGGGAAGAGGTGCTGGTGTCTTAGGCCAAAAGGATAGCAGAGACATATGTGTGAGAAGTCGTTCAATTCTTGATATATTTTGAAGATACAGTCAACGGCATTTGGATGTGGGATATAAGAGACACAGAATAGTCAAGAATGATTCAGTGATTTGGGGTGGATGGGTCTTAGGTCTGAAAGACGAAGGAGGTGTACGTGAGGCATGGACTACTAGGAGAGGAGCAGGTTTGGGGGGAAGCTGAGAGGTTCAGTTTGAGAAGTCCATCTGACATCTCAGTGGTGATACTGAATAGGCAGTTGGATATATGGATCTGGAATTCAGAGGACAGACCAGCGAAGGAATGCTATTTACAAGTCAAACATCAAATGAAATCACTCATGGAATGAATGTAACTAGAAGAGAGAAGACCAAAGGACTTAGCCCTGGGCGCTCCAAGATGTCTAGTCAATGAGGAAGAACCAGCCAAGGAGAAAAAGGAGACGAAGTGAGATAAAAGAAAAACCAGGAAAGTGTGCTTGCTGAATGCCAGCATATAAAGTATTTAAAAGAGAATGAAGCAATCCAACATGTCAATTAAGAGAAGGACTGAGGCTTCACCCCCTGGATTTAGCAATGTCAAGGTCACTGATGATCGGACATGACTAGTTTTCGTTGAGTACGTTTCAGTATGAGAGGAGAACAAGGATGTACTATGTGTTGAAGGAGCTTTGCTGTAAAGAAAAGGAGAAAAATGGGACAGCTGGAGGGGAATATGGTTCAAACTTCCGTCGAAGGGAGAAATAACGACATTTTTAGATGCTGATGGAGTTTCCATTAGAATGCGAAGTAGTGATGAGAAAGGAAAGGATTTACAGCTGTGCTGGGATGGGGAATGGGACCTGGTACCCAAGTGGGTGGGTTGGCCATTGCTAGGAACACAGTGAAAGGAAAAAAAGCACAGCATTCAGGCAAACACGCAAGTTGGGCTCGGTGTGGTGGTGGGAACTCTCAGAAGTTCTCCTCTGATTGCCTCTATAGTCTCAGTCAAAGAGGAAGCAAGTTCATTGGGGAGGGAGATGAGAAGGGGCTTGGGGGCTTGGTGAGAGAGGAGACGGTGCAGACGTCTTGAAGAAGGGAAATGTGAATAGAAGAGGGATATTGAGTATTATTTCTGGGCAGCCTTAAGAGCCAGCTGATCATGAATTTAGGGAGATACAGGTCAACAGGGATGTGGCCAAGTTCAGCTTACAGACACAGGTGCAGGAACAGAGAGCTGGCTTATCCAGGGTTGAGGATGTGCTGAGCAAATATGACAGATATTTACTGAATCCAGCCGAACTGGATGAAACTCATTGCCCATTGCCATATAGACTTCAGAGGGCAGTTTTCTCTTGTGCTCACATGCCTTGTCCCACCCGGGTTTTGTCATCTTCAAGGAGAAATCCACAAAATCCAGGATTCTGAAATACTCACCGCCCTTCAAATCTGTGTTTTAAAAAATCAAACAACGCTTTTTGCA